CAGGCAGTACTGGCAGTACCTGGCGTGCAAGGTGTGGCCGGAGCGCTGCGAGGCGGAGGAGGACGAAGAAGAAGAGTCCAGTCCCAGCAGCCCGGGTAAGCCCCTTCCGCCGCTCTGGCCCTCTCCCCGGGAAGAGCAGCAGGCGCCAAGGCCCAGCTGCCCCCAGCTCTGTGGACCCTTCCCGTCCCAGGGTCACTGCCCTGGGCATCTCCCGCCTTACGCAGCGCACCCCTGGGCCCCACGGCCACCTCTCTCGGCGAGGGGAGGGGAGCGGAGCAGGGCTGGCAGGGCGCTCCGTGCCCGCTGGAGCCAGCTGCTGCCTCTCCGGTGTTTATCGCCCCTCCTCAAAAAAAGGGCGGCGTCCGAGGCCCCCCACCTGGGAGGAGGGCTGCCGTTGACCGGGCTCGGCTGAGCGTCCATACGAAACGCGAAAAAGACACTTGGTGGCACGGCTCTGCTAAGACCGCTGCCTTTTCCAGGCTGGAGCTTGCCTCTGGTGGGCCGGGATTACCTGGAGATCCTCTCTGCCTGGTACTGTAGCTTCGGCAAGTGCTGCAAGACAGGAGACTGCAGGATAGTCAACAATATCACAGGTAGGTGCTGTGCTGTGCTTGGGAGACCTCAAGCAGTGCCTGTCTCTCCTGTCCATCACCGTTTTCTCTTTTGTTGTTTGCTTGCTTGTTTGTTTGTTTGTTTTTAAAAAGTGTATTTTAGCAAGTGGTGTAAGTAAAGGGCATTTCTGAGTAGGGTGGGAGGGTGAGGGCCTGAGTTTCCCATTATTCGTTTGTAGTTGTGAGCTTGCAAGGGACCTCCCACACAGCGTACCTACCACACAGTGTATCTGCTCTGGTTTGCCAGCAGCCCTGCCTTCATCTGGTAGCTCCCAGGCATATGCACTGGGGTCCCAACTGGCCTGGTATCCAGCCCTGGGCTGGGAGGGTACACTAGACCTCCGTGTAAGCCCTGTGCAGGTGTCATTGCACTTTGCTGGCCCTGCGACTTCTTGTATCCACACCCTCTGCTGGGAGCTTACGAGGGCCTTTGGGCTTCAGCGCTTTCCACAGTCAAATACCTCGTCTGCTTCCCAAAGGAAAAAAAGAGTCAGTGGAAGATCGGTGTCTTTTTGCGGTCTGTAGCTGATGCAGGCAGGGTACGGGCAGCCTGTCTTGTTGACCTTGCAGCTTTAATGCCACTTCAGACTCCTCTCAGGCAGGCAACCCCACCAGCACGGCCGTGTGGGCTTGGTGCCCTGCTGCCTTTTCTCCTCTTATTCCCCCCTGCAGCAGCAGCTGGGTTTGCAAGCTAAACCTGAGCTCTTGCACTCTCTTTCCTGCAGGGCTAGAAGCAGACCTCAATGGGCAGCTCCATGGGCAGCACTTGGCCAAAGAAGTCGTCGTGCGGGCGGTGCAGGGGTTCCTGCAGAGCCCACAGCCAGAGAAGGCTCTGGTCCTCTCCTTCCACGGCTGGTCTGGCACAGGCAAGAACTTTGTGGCTCGGATGGTGGCCAGTCACCTGTACCGGGACGGGCTGAAGAGTGTGTGTGTCAGGGTGTTCATCTCGCTCTTCCACTTCCCTCATCACAAGTATGTGGACTCGTACAAGGTGAGAGCCCAAAACATGGTGTTGCTGTGGGGACGGTCCAGTGTACTGGCTCTAGCTGGGATGGAGTTCATTTTCTTCACAGCAGCCCATATGGTGCTGTGTTTTGGACTTGTGAGTAAAGCAGCGTTGATAACACACCGGTGTTGTGGCTACTGCTGAGCAGCACTTGCACAGCCTCAAGGCTTTCTCCTTCTCCCGCTCTGTCCCCACAGTCAGTAGGTTGGGGGTGCGCAGGAACCCAAGGGATATTCTGTGCCATTTACTGTTGTGCTCAGTAATAAAAACTGAGGGGAGGGGGTTTTGGGGTAGGAAGCCATTGCTCAGAGAATGGCTGGACACTAGTCTGTGGTAGGCGTGAGTGGTTGCCTTTGCATCACCTGCTTTGATTTCTCTCTTCTTCCTCTTTCCTTCACTTGTTCAACTATCTTTATCTTGACTCACTTGCTTTCTTGCTTTTGCTCTTCCTGTTCTCTGCCCTGTCCTGCTGAGTGAGAGGGGAGCAAGCGGCTGTGTGGTGCTTCGCTGCCAGCCAGGGTTAACCCACCACATCCAGCTCAGCCCCTGCACTGATGATCTGGTGGCAGTGACTGCTGCTGGGCTTCTCACACTCCTCCCTGCTGCTTTGCAGGCTCAGCTGAAGAAGCAGATAAGCGAGACTGTGCAGCTCTGCAAGCAGTCCCTGTTCATCTTTGATGAGGCAGAGAAACTTCATTTCAGCCTCCTGGATGCCATCAAGCCCTTCATGGCTCACTATGCCAACAAGGGCCAGGTGGATTACCCGAGATCCATCTTCCTTTTCCTCAGGTGATTTCTGGGCCCCCAAAGGGATGGGAAAGAATGAAGTGATAGAATTTATCCCCTAAGGTGTGCAATATGAGGTGCTCTGGCTGCTGGGGAGGGCAAAGAGATGTCTTGCTCCTCCAAGAGGTGGTTGCCTCCATAGCCGGTTTTGCTTATTGATGCTGGGCATCCACCCTGGGTACGGGGCATCTGTAGGAGGAAACACCTGAGCCAGCGTCTAGGCTTTGAGACAAGGAACTGGTGAGAGTCAGAGCTAGTGTGGTGTCACCCTGCACAGCTGAGCAAGGAGACCCCATACTCCAGGGAGCAAAGCTGGGGCTGCAGGTCTTGGTGGGAAGTTCTTGTGCAATGTGGCACTGTTAGTTGGGAGTGGGAGGTGGAGGGTTCCCACTGCCTGGCCGTGGCTGCGGGCTGAGGTGCCATCGATCTGCTGGGCTGTGGGGGCTGATCCTGGCATCAGCTCATCCTCTCGTTTAGTGGATTCCTTTCCCACCCAGAGGGAGAAAGGACTTTGGCATGTGCACATCCCGGTGCTGTCCCTGCCCCAAGCCTGGGCGGGATGCATCTGGACGGAGAAGTGGGACATCGCAAAACCGAGATGTGAGGTAGGCATATGCCTGAAGTAGGCAGTGAGAAATGCCAAGGAGAGACAAGCATCTTGGGCCCCCTTCAATTTAGGAGTTTAATCCTTCAGCATGGCTCTGGCAAGAGGTGTTCCCACAGGCTGGAGGTGAGCAGAGCATTCGTTCTTCATCTCCCGTTGGTTCTGCAGGGAATTTTCTCTGGCTATGGAGCACCTGCACGTGTGCCTGATGCTTGAGGAGCTGACCACATTTCAGTCCTACCTGCGTGGGCAGGAGCCACAGTGGACGGGGCAGATTTTCCCTTGTTGCTTGGGGCAGGGTGGATGTGCTGCCAGCTGTGCTGAGCTGACCTTGTGTCCTACCTGGCAAGCCGTGCGGGGGTGTGTGTAGGGGGATGTCAGCCCCCTCGTGCCACCAAGCAGCGGGGAGCAGGGTGCCTTGAACTGCAGCAGTGTGTAATCCCGGGGGGGTTCATCGTACCCAGTGGCAGTGTGACACAGACCTGTTGGAAGAGAGCTGGCTCTGCCCCAGAGCTCCTTTGGACACTGGCCTGCTCCTGCAGCGTTGGCCAGGTTTGGGGGATGGGGTGGGGCTGGCTGCCTGTCCTCAGCCAAAAGGTGCTGTTTCTCCCATGGTCTGGGTAGGAGCAGGATCGGTACAAGCTGTTTCCCCCCTCAACAAGGCGGTGGGCTGGAAACAGTGGTGGCTTTTTAGTTTTGCCTCCCCTCCGTTTGGGGAATGGGTCTAGAGCCTCTGACACAAGGTGGGTGCAAGATCTGTGTCTCCCAGTGCCTCTCTGCCTCCCACCTGCACAAGTTCTGCAGCCAGCTGGTTCCCAGTATCGCCAGCTCACTGGTGGCAGGGTATTTAGGGCTGGGGGCTTTGACCGAGGCTGTCGCAAACCCCTTAGCAGCACTCGTGGGCTGCCTGGCACTGACCCGCTTTCTGAGGCGAGGGGCTGCCCTGGGAGCCTCAATGACTGTCAGGACCTCGCATTCCCCACCACAGAGCTGCCCCCACGGTGGGTGTCCAGAGGAGTCCTCGCATGGGAACTGCGCTGCTTTTCCCTCGGGCAGGGGATGCTTTGCCAAGTCCTGGGCTGCCTCTTGAATCCCTGCCCTGGACCTTTGCTTCTAGTGGGACTCCTGCCATGTGCTCTGCTCTCTAACTTGGACTTTCAGTGGTGGCTTGTTGAGTTTGGTGTGGAGCCAAGTGTCACCTGCAAGGTTGATGGCGTGCCAGCCGGGACAGGGGACTGATGGAGAGGGAGGATTCTGCTGGCTCCTGGTCCTACCCTGGGAGAGAAAGCAGCTGCCTCAGGGTCTGAGCTGGCAAGGTGGAAGATAGCTGTGTAGATGTCTATAGAAAGGGGCTCTTTGGGAAGAAAGGTGGTTCCTCCATGTGCTAATATTTCAGGTGCTGATCCCACACAGCAAACCCTTTGTTGCTAACAGGACTGCAGAGGTTTGTCTGTAGGGGAGGCTGCTGGCAGCTCTCAGCAGTTCATCTCCAGGGGCACAGCTGAATGACTTCTCTTCTGTGTCCACAGCAATCTTGGCGGCAACACCATCAATGAGGTAGCCTTGGACTTCTGGCGAGCTGGCCGGGTGCGGGAGGAGATCTCCATGGAGTTCCTGGAGCAGCGGCTGCGAAAAAAATGAAGGTAAGAGCCGGGCTTGCTTGCGGGATGCTGTGGGCAGGCTGCCTGCCAACCTGCCCCTCTGCGCTGGCTTGAGTCCCATCCACCTCCTGCTGCACAAGTGTGTGTGCTGTGGAATAAACCTTTATTCCAACCCCCAGCCCGGGGTTAATTGCAGCGTGAGCCCCTTCCTTCACCCACGTTAGCACAGCCCCACGAGCAGTGAGGCACGTGAGGGAGCTGTGAGTCCTTCTTGCCCCGCTGAGCCCTGACGATACCAGGTTGCAAGAGGCAGCCTAACACCAGGGGAGGTATTAAGGCTTCTCTGGGGATTCAGGCTTCTCTTGCCCGAGATGGACAAACCATAGCGACGTTCTGTGTTCAGACTAAAAGTGCTGGCCATCTCTTTACAAGCGGGTGTGTCTCTCCCACCCCACATGGCTAGATGAGCCAAGACAGCCCCCTCGGAGAGACCAGCCTTGCCTCGCACAGGGATGACAGCTCTCAGATGAAGCTTCTGAAGTTTGGTTTTGTCTTGCATTTTGCTACAGAGAACGGTTATGCCCGCAGCAACCTCCTCAAAGACAACCTCATTGATTTCTTCGTGCCGTTCCTGCCCCTGGAGTACCACCACGTGAGGCTCTGTGCGCGGGACGCTTTCCTGGCCCGTGGACTTCCATACACCGAGGCAGCCCTTGATGAGGTGGCCAGGATGATGGTGTTTGTCCCCAAAGAGGAGAAGCTTTTCTCTGCACAGGGCTGCAAAACTGTATCCCAGCGCATCAATTACTTCCTTCCTTGAACATGGGTGGGACTATACCAGTGGTGAAGGTGGGTCCGCACACTAGGAGCTGCTCTCCTTGCACAGGGACAGACGCTTAACCCCTTGTTACTCCAAAGGCTGTTTGTTGCAGGGACGGAGGCACACCCTGCCCAGCCTTTCTCCTGGGACATGGGGACAGCCTGTGCTTGGCTGCGTTTGAAGCCTGCCTGGTGTTTTTAAGTCCCTTCTTTTAGCCGGTAGTAGCCTGAAGTAGTGATTTGGTTGTGCTGACAGGCGCTTTGACATGAGCAGAGATGTCCAAGTCCTTGGTTTGTTAGCATGTAATGATGACGGCCGTGGACAGACTGGTCCTGTTGAGACAGTCCAGCAGAAGCCATGTCCTCATCCCTGTACCCAGTTTTCTCAGAACTGTTTCGCTGGAGCTGAGGTTTTTTTTTCCTCTGTTGCTCTCCTGCATTCACAAGGCATCTGCTGCTCAGGGCCGCACGTGTCAGGATCACCATTGGTGCAGGGAGGCCCTTGCATAGAGAAAGTGACTGAATAATCTCCTCTGGAGATGTCAAATCTGTAGCCTCTCGCTTTGAGTGTCCCTCTTGTTGCAGTCTTTCGTTGTATGGAAGCAGCTGCCGGGATGAGGTGAACTTCTGCTCAAAGTATTTTTTTGAAGCAGTTTGGTGAAGAGCCCGTCTGCTTCACTGCAAAACGAAAAAAGGGGAGACTAATGCCCCTTTCAAGGGCAAAGGGCGGTTGGGGAGGATGGTGGCTGAAGGAATGGGCTGCAATTGAATTCAGGTTTTCAGGGATGCAGTAAACTTCGGATATTTTTTCTTTTCAGTATGTTGCATGCTGTGGCTTTTTGGCTGGTATCAGCATTACTACACTAAGGGGCTGTTTGCTGTCTGGGTACTTGCCAGGTGATAAGTATGTTACAGCAGGACCAAAAATTTCAACAGTGTTACGGGAATCACTTTGTGACCTCTGGGTCAAAACTCCCTTCCAACGCAGCTGGGTCGGGGCGATGGGGTGAAACGGCACCCGCCAAGGACAGGGCTGAGCTCCCTGGACACCCCATGTGCGGACCTTTGATCTATTTTAAGCTTTGAACCTCTCTGCGGTGCCAGTGATGAGCAGCACGACCTCTGGGAAAAGATTGACCAGACACGCTTACTAGTCCTGCAGACTCTGAGTTTGCGTTTCGCTCCGGGCACGCTGGCTCTGTTATCTAAGGAGGCTTCATAGTCCAAGGCAGAAGATGAGCCAGGTGCTTTCTCACTGCTCAACTCACACAGCGTTAGTTTAAACTTGCCGGTTGTCTCCAGATTGGACCTTAGGGCCTGAGCCAGCGTGCACTGGTATCGGGTGTTTCTGAGACTTGGTTTATGGTTAATCTCTTGTTCACAAGTGTCAAGCCTAAGGCTTCAGCCTGGGAAACTTCAGAGGGAGATGCAGCCCGGGAAGTCAGCTGGGGAGTGGAGGATGCAGCCCCACAGCTCGGGTTGTGTTTTGTCACCTGGGCAGAAAGTTTAGAAAGCTGTCAGTCAGTTGAAGGTTCGTTGCTTAGAAAGCTGTGTAAGCCCAGATAACCTGGGGTTTTTTAAAAATAGAAAAGAATCTTCAGCTGTCCAGGTTAGACCGATGCCGCTGGGAGCGGAAGGGAGTCGCTGTCAGCCATTTCACCAGTGCGGGGCTGGTGTGAAGGCGGCATGTTTTAGGTGTTTCTTACGCTGTTACTGATGAAGGAGGTGGAGGTGTTACTAATGAGGGCAACTGTCAAACTGATGATGGAAGGCCTGGTGCTCTGCCAGGTCATACGTGCACCTTTCAGAATTAAGTGAGCATTTGATTATGCAAATCCCAACAGCAA